ATTTTCATTTGTTCATATTTTGCCCTAGTTTTACTGAATTTGAATTTGGATCAGGATTATGTTGGCATGTTGGTATCTTATGTTGTTTCCTGTACAGATAATGTTTTAAGAGATAATGCCTGACTTGAACCTGTCATTTTATCATCCAGGGAAGGTAGATTGTACATACGATAAACACATTGCTACTGTCATAAAATAGCAATGTAATTGATAACGAAGGATTCACGAACCGATAGTTCTATTCTGTGTGCAATACTCATAAGTCCGTAGTGTATTCAAGACAACGTTTTCACTAGATTGAGCAATGCAGATTAAACATTTTTATAACATATTTCTTTGATGAAAGGTATATTGATATCTTTTCCTTCTCAGATATGTGCAACACAATCACATTCTTGTTTTGATTTATATTTTGATTGACACCTCGAGCTGTTAAAGGCATCCGTTATTTGCTCTCAGAGAATTTTTATGTGCGTCTGTCTGATAAGGTGGTACCGCCCGCTTTCTGACGTTCTGACAAGGTATGGCACACTCATTAGTAGATCCTTCACGCATCTTGTTCCAAGCTTTCTGCTGTTAAGGGTTTATTTAAACTGTTATCATGTTTTGGTGTGGGCTTACGTACACGACATGCAGTTTTGATAAGTTTTGTAAATATGCAAAATCGCAGATATTCATATCTCATTCCACAGCGGCTCCTGGGGCGATTTTTGTGTAAAACACGAAAGTGTAACTGCTGAATGGGACGACCCTGACCCAATAATTACGTGTTTTAAACATTTTTGTGCATTAAACGTTAAAAGAAGCCAAAAGGATCAAGTTGTACTGCTTGCCATTGATTGATCGACCCAGTACAAACGGAACACACAGACACACGTTTGTTAGTGAAAGACAGCATTCAACTCTTAATTATTATGAATGCATGCCTCGATATATGAATACAATTAGATAGGATTACATATACATATATATTTTTAAAACGATAAAGAGTTCAGGGTATAACGTAAACTGACAAAATATAAGTACTAATCATTTCAGTGAATGTAAGTCCAGATGACACGCAACAAATAAAAAGTCTACACGAATATCCTTTGAGTGAAAGATCCTGTGTTCATTCCTTTATATCTACAATGAGCACGGAAGTCATCTCGGCACTGGAGTACGCGTCAGTAACATTGATATTGAACGGGTACAAAGCCCCCCACCCCCTCCCCCCCCCCAACCCCCTTGCTCAGTGTCACAACAACTGTACGAGTCTAATGTTTATCCGAGTCTAAAGTAAAACACGAATGTTACTCAAAAGTTGTTGTGTTGGCTAGGTTGATTGTTGATCCACAGCTTGAACCACAAAGAAACAGAAGGAAAAGGACAACACAGTACAGGACATGCAGCCTGGGTTCTCAGCTAAATCGTATGATTAATCCAAGCAGGAGCTTTCTCATGTTTCCACATAAATCGTATAAAATATAAAAATCATACATCAGATTTATTTATCAACCAGTCGATAGAACCGAGGAAGACAGGTCTGCAACCGGATTGATTTACTATCGTTTTACTGATGGTCTTTTACACATCCGTAAAAAATTTAAATCGTTTTTCTATTATGTTCATGCTAGCCATCGCATTAATCATGTAATTTGATATGATTGTGTTAATAAAGTGGAATACATCATTGGTGCAATGCCGAATGTATTGTTTAACATTGTACTCAATGCCACAGGTTGAAAAGATACATTTACGATTTCATCACATGATATGGCGGAAGGCTTTATGATAAGGGATCTTGACATGAGGTCACATAATACATTACAAAAATAGAAGTAACAGGTTTTATTTAGTGTACTTTAAAGTCAAACACTAGTGTTGTTTATGTTTTCATACGAGCAGATGGACATTTGCACTCCTTGTGTCGCAGCAGAGACTTTTCTCCTTAACCGGAAGTTCCGAAAATCCAGTCTCCTCTGAAACGAAAGGTCAGTTGGTACAAGCATCACCAACTTCTCGCCATTACCGCCAATGTTGAGGAAAATTAGTCTGCGGAAGTGTCTTGCTTTCCGACTTAGAGGCTAATTGAAGACAAATTCCAGCCAGCTGACGTCAGAGCGACAGCGGAGATCATCATAAATATAGTGGCTACTGGATCACTTACATCATGTTCAGTCAAGGTGGTAATTGATTCTATAAACTTTGCAATGCTAATTTGCACCGATAATGCTAATCTACATTTATCTTGTGCGCGTAGTGAAAGGTTTTTTTATGAATGTATGACTCCTGCATTAGGTTATCGTATCACAGAACAGGCCTGTATTCTCCTAATCAATGAAATAAAGTCAATTCGAATTTTTCAAATACAAACTTTGTAACGATATTAAGGTTTAATTTGAAACTGAATTAAATAAATGTTGTGAATTGTGTTTAAAGCTAATGATATTTAAGCGTGTAGAATTTCAGATTTTTTGCTTTCAGTTTGTTGCTGTTGTATCAGAAAGAATTGAAAACATTAGATGGTAGTTTTTAAGCCGACAATGATTTAGTTTCTTGTTGTTTTACGTCCTATCAACAGCAAGGGTCATTTAAGGAACAGCCAGGTTTGGATGTCGGGGAAATTACAGAGTTCCTAGAGAAAAACTTCCGACCTGCATCCGGTATCTGCATGGTGACTGCCCTACAGAGGACTCGAACTCGTGACCCAAATGTGGAAGGCAAGTGATAAATACTGTCTGACGCCTTAACCTCCCCACTACCGTGGCCCTTCTTAACCAACAAACTGAATGTTTAGTCATGACGTAAAAAAGTTGTGAAAATAATGATATATTTTATTTAGGTGAATAATGGATGACAGCTCTTGCCGACCGGCCACTCAGAAACGGAACAAAACAGAAAAAAAATAATTATCTTTAATCAAATATCAATAACGAACATAAGAGGTTGTGTTTCATAAGATACATGATATCAAATATATCGATATTCCATATTCACTATTTTATTTACGGAAATGTAAGTATTTTAACGACTTGCCGTGAGCTGTGTGGATTTTTACTAATGAGTTACTTATATGCGACCTATCTCGTGCTTCGAGTTTGGTGTCAAAGAACACTCCTTGTGCTGGGAATTGGAAATCAAGTAGATTGCGTGCCGACAAAGTCCTATAACTGTAGAAATGATGTTATTTTCCGCGGAGACTTTCGTGTGGTTCACCAAACACAGGAAATAACGGCGAGTACAAAAATACACGGGTGACGGAACGCAACAGCCGGATGTAGTAATATTAGTCAAGTGACGGCTACATATGTAGTTCGTTGTCAGAAATCGTCTTAAAATTAAGCCTTCAGTTGTACTTTTCTTTTTCGTAATGTTTCTTTACAGTGGGGATTGTAAAAAAACGAGTATTGGGATAGGATCCACCAACTCAATCAATTTTTTTATCTTAGCGGGAAAGAACAATATCGACAAAAAAAAGAGACACAACCGAAATTTGAACACAAACGTACAATATGCTTCTTTTCTATAGCACAATAATAGAGACGACACTAACGAAGACGCCTCTTTATTTGGCCACACATGAGTCGCCTCACACGATCGCACGCGAGATACCAAAGTGTTTAGCTGATATTTGACATGATTAAAAAGAACGCAGCTAAATCTCCCTAAACTGCCCTCCTCCAAATATAGAATTACCCCTATACATGGTGTTAACCAAATAAATAAGTCACAGCTACACCCATCTCCACTTATATAGAGAAAACTCTGCTATACAGATAATTGATTTGGTCCCTATCGTGGCCTACATAGAGATAATTCACTATAATCTGTTTTATCTGTCATATAAAATGCCATGCGAGTCCAAGGTGCCTACTACAAATGAACATCCCACAGCCGTGTGAAAGGCGAGTTACAGATGTTTCAAGTAACAGGCGTTGTATTGGGCGTTTTATAAGGAGTGTTAGCGTAGGCTTGTATGGTTTAAAATATCGCTTCTCTACCTTGCGTTCGAACTTAAATATAAAATAGCGATTACAACATATGTTGCCGTTAAAACTTTTATGTGCTACACGGAAATTCATATTCGATCAGTGAAAAACACACGGATCGTTTGTATATTGGCCTAGCGATCCGAGCTGATATTTATACTCTAACACCACACGCCAGCATGTTACTACTATGTGGGAGAGTGACGTACGACTTACCCGTCCAATCATCATCATTATTTATTGAACACTGCCGATTGTCTAATGTCGTTCTCTGTCATATCAACTGTCGATGCCTATCTCACCGTCTCCGCTCCGGTTATTATTGCTCCGGCGGGAAGTGCAGAAGCTACTGCATCAATTTACACGAACACCCACGGGACTCAATTGGGGATGACCCATGGGCAATGGAAGAGAGGTCCCGAACGTACATGTATATCTCATAGTAACTCTACCAAATCCAACAATACATTTAACCTCTGGACGTAACTTCCTTTATCAAATAGAACACTAGTAATAACCACATGAACCTAATCCACCCACAGCAGTCTTGTAAACCTATACACATGATTTGGACTTACACGGATGGCAATTGAATTGAAAATTGATTGCCAGTGACAATTGTGACGGATTAGCGATATATCGGTCGTATAATACAGCCATATAGAGCTCTGGTGATTCTCCAGTTCAAAGCTCCTTTGCCGAAATCAATTATTGTCCGAACACCTGATGGTCCTTGTAGCGTCTATACAGTGTACATATAGACAAACTATCCCAGCGGCACTACTGTTCAGCAGCTGAAACTCGATTGCTCCCTTCGTTCCCGCGCATGTGTTGCTTCTCGAGACATCTAACAAACGACAGGACTATGTTTTGCAGCGCGAGATTGGGCGGAGTCATACTCGATGACTGACAGTTCAAGTATCGACTGTGTTTATAGACAGATATATAGAAAAATCGCACCATGTTATGTCATTAAACACTGCGATGGTTGGGTAGGCTACCGTTGGCGAGGACGATGAAGCTAGCGGTATGTTGGCTGTTTATAACTTTCTCTTTCTGCCTATTTACTTAGCAGTAATTGGTACGATTATACTTAGTGTTTTCGTGTTTTTAAAATCTTTGTTAGGACCCAAAGAGGTTTTACCGAAACTATATTATAAGGAATCAACGCTAGCTACTCATGTACTACGGAAATGTTCACTGGCTACCAGGATGTTTTCTGTCGAATTACTTTTACGGAATCGCCATCTTCAAACCTTGTTGCCATGGATACTGCCCCATGCAAGTGTCCAGTTTGACCGGGAATATCTACTTCTTAAGGATAAAGGGGTGGTAGCCCTGGACTGGGTCAGTAACATTCACGTACAGAAACGGAAACGGAAGACGGTCATGGTTGTTATCCCGGGTATAACCGGATGTGCAGTAGGCGTATCTAAGATTTGTCAAGCGGCAGCTAAACGTGGGTTCCAAACAGTGGTTTTTAACCGCAGAGGACACGGAGGAACGGTCCTTACGACACCAAAATTTCAAAGTTATGGCGATCCATCCGATTTACGGCAAGTCGTAAAGTATATACACGGCCGGTTTCCGAAAGCACTTATCACCATGGTATCATACGGGACCGGATGTGAGGTATTGTTATCCTATCTTGGTGAATTTGGATCATCGGCGCACATATGTGGTGGTGTATGTGTGTCTCCGTCATTTGACATTTCGGAGCGTTCTAAACCAAAAATAAGCGGTGTATACGACCTATTTTTATTACTATATTTAAAGAAAATTCTATGGCAGCATGCCAAAGCACTTTTAAAAGTGGTGGATGTACAGAAAGCCTTGAAGACTTGGTCTTTGACTGAGTATGATCAGTGTGTTTTTTGTAAAATGCACGGTTACAACAGTATTGAGGAATTCTGGGAAAAGAACAACCCTCTTCGAGATGTTGACGACATATCGATACCTTTAATGTTTGTCAGCAGTCTAGACGATCCCGTGTACAAAAACAACAACATTCCGTATGACTTATTTAAATTCTATCCTAACTTCCTCATGGTGGCCACGGACAGAGGAGGCCATTGTGGATTTCTAGAAAACCTAAGGTCTCTATCATGGGCCGACAGTTTAACTTTGGATTATCTGGACGCTATTTTGGAATTTACGACAAAGGGATTTACGATAGATTATCATAAAAGCCCTGCAAGGTCAACAATATGACAGCTTAAAAGATTATTATATATTTATATAGTTTTTCCCGATTCTTTGCAACTTCCGCCATTTTTGCTCAAACGTCTTTAGTGTGTATGTTGTATGTCTGTCTGTTTGTTTGCCAGTCATTTGGTTAGTCCGTCTGATCGGGTGTAACACGAACTATGACCTGTTCTATCAAATGTTTAATTCATACAAATGACTCTTTGATACTTCGTCACTGTCCATCAGTTCGACAACGTAAATCAGTGTGATGATAGAAGTAGGATAGCGTAACAATACTTACTCGCCTATATACATAATAGCTATTCTATCTGATAAAAAATCTATTGATCCACAAAGTAACACCATTCCTTTATAACAGTGTCCAAACAATAACCAAACCATTCTAATCAGCGAACGGAACGATATACATAAGCAATTCCTACTGGATTTTTATAACCATTGAAATGCTCCAAAGCTCCGGAGAATACATGTTCATGTAGCAATGGAAGTGTGGAATTAATTCTAGGATGGATTGTACAGTTCCTGCTGTGACTGCTACTAGTGGGTGGTGGTGGTGATGATACTAACGACGCTTTGGTTTGTATTAAACGGGTGTTATCAATGATTTTATTTTGAGTGGATGTTTTCATTAAAATGTATGAATGTTAACTGTTATAGAAACAACATGAATGATGTTTTACCGGATGTTATTGATGTGTGAATGTTCATTTTTGACTGGATTTTATTAAAGAGTTTGAATGTTTGCCGTCGTATTTTTATCCGTTTTCATCTTTTGAGAATACGTTTCTATTTTCGTGATTTTCATCCAACAATCTATTAAGAGAATAGTATTATATATGTTATTAAGTTGCAGTATGTTCCAGACTGTTAATTACCTGAAACATATACATAGGGAAAGCTTATTTGCATTACATGTAAGAACAATTTGACATACGTCTACCGTCGTTGAAATTTTGCGTTTACTTTTGTTATGTAAGAAAAAAATGCAAAGATAATTAAATCAAATGTCAGACAACATAGCAGTAGGACATGACAAACGCTTCAATTAATGTTTTTTATGACTTTTATGGCCCTTAAGTTTGTCATCAGGGTCTCAGAGATTTGCTAACGTTTTTATCATTTTGAAGGACGCGCGCTACAAACGTATACTGTATTTTTCATGTTGCACATTACCTAACTCTGCATTAGTTTATCACGAACATTACCGAACTCTGCATTAGTTTATCACGAACATTACCGAACTCTGCATTAGTTTATCACGAACATTACCGAACACTGCATTAGTTTATCACGAACATTACCGAACTCTGTATTAGTTTATCACGAACATTACCGAACACTGCATTAGTTTATCACGAACATTACCGAACATTGCATTAGTTTATCACGAACATTACCGAACTCTGCATTAGTTTATCACGAACATTACCGAACACTGCATTAGTTTATCACGAACATTACTGAACTCTGCATTAGTTTATCACGAACATGACCGAACTCTGCATTAGTTTATCACGAACATTACCGAACTCTTCATTAGTTTATCACGAGCTTTACCGAACACTGCATTTGTTTATGACGAACATTACCGGTGTCACACTGCAAATGTTAAGACGCACATGACCAACCACAAATGGCACACTGCAAGTTCTGATACAGACGGACGTCATGTTAAGGACAGAGCTTATCAATGCATTTGTTAAGGACATACTTTACAAAGGATTTGGACGGACATAACCTTTTGTACAACGCATCTGTACGGACGAATATTACCAATGGCGAGATGCAATTTTTTAGACTCGGTTACTAAGTCGCTAAGGATAAGTACAATGCTGTATTTTAAGAAACTATTACTCGGTGTTTAAAAATTGGTGAAAAGTTATGTTAGTTTTAGATGTAAATGGAAATTATTGATTATTCGGTGTTAAAGCACAATAATAATTGTAGACGGAATTTCATCAATAGTTTGAGGTTTAATTCATGTTTGAATGTGACATTGCCATTATGTAAACCTGGTTGTCAATCTTACATAATGAAAACACGATTGATCATTAACTATTGTTTGCGTAAAGCAATAGTCATTAATGTCAAAATACAGCCTTGTCTGCTATTTAGTAAACACTATGTTAGAGGAAGTAAGCCGAATCTGTTTGTGGTGGATGGTAGTAAATTCTGTATTCATAGGGTGGGTATCAATCTGATATGTGTAGGTTGGTTTTGAATCCTGTTTGTGTAGAATGGCTGCAAATCATGTATGTGTAGGATGGTTGTAAACCTGTATGTGTAGGATGGCTGTAAACCTGTATGTGTGGGATGGCTGTAAATCATGTATGTCGTGAATGGTTGTAAACCTATATGTGTAGGATGGCTGTAAACCTGTATGTGTAGGATGATTTTAAATCATGTATGTCGTGGATGGTTGTAAACCTGTATGTGTAGGATAGCTGTAAACATGTATGTGTAGGATGGCTGTTAACCTGTATGAGTGGGATGGCTGTAAACCTGTATGTGTGGGATGGCTGTAAATCATGTATGTGTAGGATGGCTGTAAATCCTTTATGTGTAGGATGACTGTAAATCATGTGTGTCGTGGATGGTTGTAAACCTGTATTTGTAGGATAGCTGTAAATCATGTGTGTCGTGGATGGCTGTAAACCTGTATGCGTAGTATGGTTGAATATCCTATAGATGTTGGATGTTGTATATGAAGTATTGCTGTATGTTCTGTATAGAACGGCCGTACATCTATCATGTGTAGGATTTTTGTAACTCCTGTATATGTAGGATGACTGTTAATCCTGTATGTAACGATGGTCATAAATTCTGTACATGTGTTGTTATGACGATGGTAAATACTGTGTGTTTTGGATGGCTGTAAATTCTGTACATATAGGATGACTGTAGGTCCTTATATGAAGGATGACTGTAAAACATGTGTTACGGTTTAGGATGTCTGTAAATCCTGTATGTGTAGGACTGCTCTACATCCTACATGTGTAGGATGGTTGATTATTTGTCGATGAAGGATTGTAAATTTAGAATCTGTATGGTTACAGATTTTCAATTTTTTTAAATGCTGTTTGGTGGTTGTGTCGTTTATATGTGTGGAATGGATGCGAAATCAGACGAACGATATCTCTCTAATATACCATAATTAAAATTGTTGATAAAAATACTACAAATCCAATGGAGTGAATTGTTCTTAATACGGTGATGGTGCATTTGTCTCTAAACTATATTGTTGCTATATCGAAAAATTTAATTTAATTACCAAGTTGAAAAGAAAGTGTGTTGCTAAATAGTCTTGATAAGTCTACACTTTAACCAGATAAAAATATATTTAAATTTTCACCGTCATAAAATGTTTGTATGTATTTTTATCAAATGTGGAAACAACACGAAGATCCAGATCTATCTCTTTGTGGTGTACCCATTCCGATCGTTGAGCAAACTACATTCTTAGGTGTAATATTCGGCAGGAAATTGTCGTTCCTTCCACATATAAAATACCTTAAAGCCGAATGCGTTAAGGCACTGAATATTCTAGGGTGGTGTCCCAAACTGGCTGGGAAGCTGATAGAAAAATTTCGCTAAGACTTTATAAAGCTCTTCTCAGATCAAAGTTAGACTACGGTTCCATTGTGTATGGATCTACTAGACCTTCATATCTCAAATTATTAGACATTGTTCGTCACCAGGGTCTGAGCCTCGCTCTCGGAGACCACACATCCAGTAAGACTCTATATAGAGGCTAACTAATTATCACTACATAGCCATCGAAATAAATTGGTCTGCAGTACACCATTCAGCTTAAGTCAAATCCTTCATTCAAATCCTGCTTTTTCATTAATATTTGATCCAAAATATAAAACCTTGTTTCAAAACAAACCGAAGACCATTTCATCATTAGGTATTCGGATTTCCGCTTTTTTTAACAACATACAAATATTGGTATTGACCAAATTCAGTCATTTAGAAAGATTTAAATTCCACCCTGGCTCTTGAATTCACTTGAAGTTGACTTTTCACTTCATGGAATGGTTAAATCAGATATAGACAGTTACACCTTTCGTTCGTCCTTTTCGAAATTGCAGTTAAAATATGAAACATTTCTACATTTATATACTTATGGCTAAAAAGATAATGACAAGGTTGTCGCGGCCATGGTTTCACAAGTTGAAGCCTATGGATGCTGGCTTCCGAACAACGCCTCAATATCTACCTCGCTCTAGAATATATTTAAACAAACAAAGTAATGAGAGCTGTTATCTTTTCAGACTCTCTTTCTCTTCTACAAAGTCTTAGCAATAGAAATATCGAAAATATTTTCATTCGTAAGTACTATGTCATTAACTTACCTTTAACTTTCGTATTGCTTTCTGGTGGGTCCCTGGACACATGGGAATATCACGCAATGAAAATGCAGATCGTACCGCAAAGGAAACTTTATCCTTACAACCTGTTGTTTTAAACTTCATTTACATTTTAAACCATTTATCAAACACTTTTTAATAGCTCAGTGGCAGGAGAAATGGAATCAATATACTAACAATAAATTGCACACTGTAAAACCTATCATTGGTGAATGGTCTCCGTGCCATAGAGACAACCACCGAGACGAAGTTGTACTTGCCCGTCTTCGGATAGGCCATACATACCTTACACATTCATATATGTTGATAGGCGAAGATTATCCTCGGCGCATAGGATGTGTTGAGCCATTCACCTTTCAACATTTTTTTTTGGACTGCAATGACCTTCGGACTACTTGAGATTTTGTTTTATTGTAACGTTACAAGTCTAAAGACCCTTTTTGAAACTGTTGAGATTTATAAAATTAAAGTCATTTGAAAGATGTTGGTCTATATTATAGATTAAGACATCATTTTAATCTTTTGTGATAATATAACCATTTAAGATTTTTAGCATGTGTCTATTACCTTTTAGGTTGTTTAATTGTTTTGGCCCTAATGACCTTTTAAGTAATAGTTTCGGTCGCATGC